TCCTGAGTCAGCCTCCCAAGTAGCTAGGATTATAGGCATGAGCCACCTTCACACAGCATTTAAGCCTTGTATGACTGGTAGCTATAGCACAGAACAGGGCAGGTCAGTTTGACCCTAGTATTGGGATGGGGAAAATAGTAGCCTTAGAACCCAGAAGTACTCACACCTGGTTTAGAACTCATATCTGCTTCATGCTAGTGCTCTGCTCAAGTAGAATTTGCTTTGCATTTTTCAAGTAGAGTGACTCTATTTAAGAGACACCTGGTCTTCCCCTCCCCAGCCCTACACACATCAGCAGGTGCACTTGTTCATCCATCTTGGCTTTCCCTCCTGCCTTGCACTGTGCTCTTCTCACTTCCTAAGCTTTAGTCCCACTTTTTTCCTGCATCTATTTGGTGCATCTATTCCATACCCTTACACCATCTTTCCCATTCCCCTCACTGGACCTTTCCTTCAGTTAAGGCAGCTTTTATACCCAGTTGTTCAGTCTCCCTCTGTCCTAGCTTTTCTCTTCCCCTGACAAGCTCCCTCTCTCCTTAGCTGCAGTCCTTCTTTCCTAGCCAGATAGTCTGTCTCCCTCCCCATTCTTTCCCCTTCCTCCCTCCCCCCGCTTCTTTCCTTTGTCCCTGTCCCATTTCTCTCCTGTCCAACATGCTACCTCTCCTTTTACATGTTTACTCTTCCCTGTACTCCACACTCCCCTCCCTCACTGACTGCCCTTTTTTTTTGCGGTACTGGGGCTTGAACTCAGGGCTTACACTTTGAGCCACTCCACCAGCCGTTTTTTTGTGGAGGGTTTTTTTTTGAGATAGGGTCTCTCAAACTATTTGCCCAGGCTGGTTTTGAACCTTGATCCTTCTGCTCTCTGCTGCTGAGTAGCTAGGATAACAGGTGTGAGCCACTGGTGCCTGGCTAAAAGGAACATGTGATTTGGAAAAAGGATATAACACCCTTCCTTCTTTTTTTGGCAGTACTTAGTCTTGAACTCAGGGCCTTGTGCTTGCTAGGCAGGAGCTCTACCATCCGAGCCATACCTCATACCCACAGGCCTTACTACCCCATTTGCCCCTTTCCTTGTCCACCCTCCTCCCCAAACTCTCTGTCTTCTTTATGTAAACATGCCCACACTCTTGTCCAACTCCCCATCTCCATCCCCAGTCTTTGTAGTTCAGGGGGCATCTCCACTCTCAATTGCTCCCCCCACCCCCATTGTGACCTTGCCCTAACTCTAGCTCTTTTCCGAATGGAGTTTTTCATATCCTATTCTTGGGAAAAAGCAAATGAAGGAAGAAGAAAGGAAATTCTCCCAAAATGCTGAGCCCCAAACAAGTTCCCATGAGCAAAGTTTGAGGGAAGTTGAGTTAATCAGTCTCTTGAGGATGATTAAAAGTTTTCAAAGTTTTTGGGGTCCCTAAGGCCTGATAGTCTCCCACTTAGAATCTTCCAAAGTCAGGAGGTGCTACGGGAGTTGAGAGAGGAAAAGATTTCCCCTTTCACACTGAGGTATAACCTCGTCTCTTGGTAGCAATGGCCTCTAGAGACCAAAACAGCTGCATTCTCACCAAAGACCTCAAAGACTGGAAGCAGTTTTTCTCTCTCTTTTGCTCATAGACTCTCCATCTTTATCTCTTTTCACCTTGTTTTTCTTGCTTTATCTTTCTTTCTTTGTTCTGTGTCTTTCCTTTGCTCTGATTCTGTGATCTTCTCCTTGGTTTGTGTGTCTCTTAGCTGCCTCTCTTCCCTCCTCCCCTCAACCTTTTTTTCCTGCCAGTCTCTTTTGGTGTCTACCTGACTGTGTGCCTGTCTCTTTCCCTTTCTGGCTCCTCTCCTCATCTCTGTCACTTGGGCTGGTTTGGTTGATGGCATTCTCCTTTTGTTTGTTTTCTGCCTTTCTGGAAAAACTCCAGAATCCAAACTTTAATCCTTCATGATAAAGAAGATAGAATAAATTCCAGGTAAAATCATTCTGACCACCTGATCTGTGAGTGCCATTGGGGAGAAATGGGGGACTGCTCCTCAGAGCAGGAGGAAATCACCCAAGAGGTAGAAGAAAGAATTGCACTGAGGGAGACCTCCCTGAGTTTATGCCCAATTAGAATGGGGCTAGGTGGAGGAAGAGGGATGAATGGAGACCTCCCTTGGATGGGCTGAGGTGGGGAGGCAGCCTGGCTACCTGGTTTCCTGCAGGCACAGGGTCACAGCAAACCACTAGGTCCAGATTTGGATGGCAATTTTATTTTATTTTATTTATTTGTTTGTTTATTTTTGGTGGGACTGAGGGTTTTTTGTTTGTTTGTTTGTTTTTGGAGTACTGGGGTTTGAACTCAGGGTCTACAATTAGAGCCACTCCACCAGCCCATTTTTGTGATTTTTTGAGATAGGGTCTCTTGAACTACCTGCCCGGGCTGGCTTCGAACCAAGATCTTCCTGATCTCTGCCTCCTGAGTAGCTGATAGTATAGTCATGAGCCACCAGTGCTTGCTGAGACTGGGGTTTGAACCCAGGGCTTCTCACTTGCAAAGTAGGTACTCTATCACTTGAGCCACTCCTCCAGTCCATTTTGTACTGATTATTTTGGAGATGAGGTCTAGAAAACAATTCACCCAGGCAGGTCTTGAGCTGTGATCCTCCCTATTTCAGCCTCCCACGTAACTAGGGTTACAGGCATGAGCCACGGATGCCCAGCCACTTTAGTTATTTTTTAGGTAGGATTCCATGGTTTTTTCCCACCAGCCAGCCTGGACCTGGATCCTCCTACTTATGCCTCCTGCACAGCTGGCTGGTAAGTCTTTACCTGGATGGCAGCCATGGGAGTGAGCTATGCCAACAGAGAGAGGGAACACAATCATTTTAATGACTCTTACACTTGCATCACAGGCTGTAACTTATTAAATATCTCCTATCAATGGTCTTGTTCAGATGCTAAGGGGGTGAAAGAAACAAAACTAAATCTGAAGCAGCCACGTGTTTGATGAATGGCACAACCACTGTTGAAATCCAAATTTGTGTGCCCTCTCAGTTGTGGAGTGAGGAGGACCCCCTGCATGAATATGCTGTACACAGGGCTCCTGCCCTCTGTTTCTCCTTGAAGGGAGTGGAGTGAGTTATGTTGAGGGTTCTGGGGAATCCATGGTGTCTAATTCTAGGACAGTCATCCTCAGTCATTCCTGAATGTGGCACCTGGCATTTCCTCTCTCATCCATTAATTAATCCAACCAATGATTCATACCATCATTTATTCATATGTATATATGTAGATACATATTTGGTGGTGCTAGGGATGGAACTCATGGTTTCATGCTTTCATACTGCTAGGCAGGTGCTCTACCACTTGAGCCACTCTACCAACCCTGATTTGTGTTGGGTATTGTGTGTGTGTGTGTGTGTGTGTGTGTGTGTGTGTGTGTGTGTTGAGTATTTTCCAGATAGGGTCTCTAGAACTCTTTGCCCCAGCTGGCTTCAAGCTTCGATCCTCCTGATCTCTGCCTCCTGAGAAGCTATGATTACAGGAGTGAGCCACAGGTGCCCAGCTGTATTTATTTTACTTTTATTTTTTGCAGTTCTGGGAAATTGAACCCAGGGTCTTTTGAGTGTTAGGCAAGTGCTTTACTATTGAACTACATCCTAGTCCTTTATTATTATTAATTATTAGGGACTTTTTTCTTCTCCCTTAGGATGCCCAGAGCACCAGTGTTCAGTCCTGTGAGGAGAAGGTAGAGCTCCTGTCCTCTGCTTGCCTCTGCTATTCAGATGAAGCAGGGAGAGGGGCTCCCATCCCCACCAGGATCCTAGCTCTCTGGTCCAGGTTGGTGCCAAACCCATCTCCTGTCCCCTAGGCTCTTTCAACTGTGTCTAAGCAGGTGGCACTTGAGTTGACTCTTCCAGATGGAAAAGGGTGGACACTTGGTTTCACTACAGGTAACTAAGAGGGTGAAGAGGGACAGAGGGTTTGGAGGCAGGGAGCTGGAGGTAGAGATCAGCTGGGGTTCATGAAGAAGGGCCTTGAATGCCATGCTGAGGAGTTGGGACTTACTTCTGAGGACAGTGAGGAGTCATGGAAGAGACCTGAGCAGGAGAGTGACAGGTCAACTCTGAGCAGAAGAGAGAACTGTCACTCAGAGAATGAGGAAGATGTGGAGGATGCACATCCACCAGGAGACCAGTGGAGAAATGACCTAGAATTCAGCTGTCCAATATGGTAGTATGTGTGGATATTGAAATTTGAAATGAGGTGGTAAGTGTAAAACACATACCAGATCTTTTTTCTTTTTTGGCATACTGGTTGAACTCAGTGCCTCACACTAACTAGGCAGGTGCTCTAACACTTGAGCCACTCCACCAGCCCTTTTTTGTGCTGGAGATTTTAAAGATAGGGACTTGAGAACTATTTGCTTGGGCTGGCCTCAAATGGTGATTCTCCAGATCTCTGTCTACCAAGTAGCTAGGGTTTCAGGTATGAGCCACCTGTGCTCAGCTCCACCAGATTTTTTTAAAAAAAAAAATGTAAATGCAGTGGGTGCCAGTGGCTCACACCTGTAATTCTAGCTACTTGAGAAACTGAGATCAGGAAATCAATGTTCAAGGCCAGCCCTGCCATTTCGAGAGACTCGCCCCCATCTCCAAAATAACCAGAGCAAAATGGACTGGAGGTGTGGTTTAAGTGATAGAGTGCCTGGATGCTTTGCAAGGGCGAAGTCCTGAGTTCAAAGCCCAGTTCCACCAAAAAAAAAAAAAAAAAGTTTTCATGTTGGGGGAGCAGAAAAAGAAACTCTTCCGATTAAAGGAAATAATACTTTTTTCCCAATCATTGTCTACAGATAAGAGCAAACATTCAGGCGGTGTTCGTGATGTGCCAAGCGCCATTTTAAATGTCATTTATTTAATCTCCACAACCTTATGGGACAGGCACTGTGACTGTCCCCACATTATCTCTGAGGCCCAGAGGGCAGGAGCCACAGACCAGGGCCAGAGCAGGGAGCGAGCTACCGTGGCCCCTGAGGATGGGGGGCCACGGGCGGAGCCCTGCCGCTAACTGCACGTTTGTGCAGGACTTCGTGCTGCTGGGGATCACCGACGTGCGCGGGCTCCAGCTCCTTCTCTTCATGGTGCTCCTTGTCACTTACTTGCTGACCCTTCTGGGGAACCTACTTATCGTCATCCTGACCTTGGCTGACCGCCGCCTGCACACGCCCATGTACTATTTCCTGCGCCACTTCTCGCTGCTGGAGATGGGGTTTACGTCAACAGTCACCCCTCAGATGCTGGTCCACCTCCTCACCGCGGACAAGGCCATCTCCCGCGCCCGGTGCTTCACGCAAACGGGGCTCTACTTCATCCTGGGCACGGTGGAGACCCTGCTGCTGGCGGTGATGTCCGCTGACCGCTACCTGGCCATTTGCAGGCCCCTGCGCTACGCTGCCATCATGACGCCTCGCGCGCGCGAGACCCTGGTTTTGGGGTGCTGGGGCGTCAGCCTCCTGGGGCTCACCGGGTTGTGTGTCTGGATGTTTTCGCTCCCCTTCTGCGGTCCCCATGTCCTCAATCACTTCTTCTGCGACAGCACCCCTTTGCTAGAGCTAGTGTGCGCTGACACCAGGCTCCTGCAGCTGGTATCCTTCCTGATGGCCATGTGCACTCTGGTCAGCGCAGTGTTGGTCACCGCCCTGTCCTACGGCTGCATCGTGCACACGGTCCTACACCTTCCAGAGGCTGGGGGCCGCTGCAAGGCCTTCTCCACCTGCTCCTCGCACATCTTGGTGGTCTCGCTCAGCTACGGGAGCTGCATCATCATGTACCTAAACCCCACGCAGACAGGACGCCTGGACCTCAACAAAGGGATCGCTTTCTTCAACACCATGGTGTCGCCCCTGCTGAATCCCTTCATCTACTGCCTCCGGAATGAGCTGGTGCAGAAAGCCAGCAGGGACTTGCTGATGAAGGGAAGAGGGCTGTCTGAGAAGGTATTCAGGGTGTGAGCCTTTCAAGACATTACTGGATATTGGCCTCCTTTTGTTTTGATTCCTTTTATTTTTCAGTGAAATCGTTTTTTACTTGAGTAGGGGGCAAAGCTAATTTAAAAGCAGATGCCACTCAGGTGTGGTGGTTCATGCCTGTAATACCCGCACTTCAGGTGACTAAGGGACCAAAAGTCCCAGGCTGAATTATTGTTCTATCAGAAAGGGTTAAGAGAGAAAGAAGGAGAGGGGGCAGAGAGAGAGAGAGAAAAGTAAACAGAAAGAGAGTTAAGAGAGAAAGGAGAGAGAGGTACAGAGAGAAGACAGAGGTAGAGAAAGGGAGGTAGAGTCTATCTCTCTCTCGCTCTCCTTTCTCTCTTAACTCTCTCTCTACTTCTCTTTCTGTTTACCTTGCTCTCTCTCCCTCCCTACCTCTCCCTTCTTCCTCTCTCTGTCTCTACCTCTCTTAACTTTCTCTTTCTTTGTATCTCTCTCTCCATTTGTCTGTCTCTACCTGTCTCTTAACTCTCTCTACCTCTCTCTCTACTTACTTCTTTCTTAACTCACTCTGCATTTCTGTCTACTTTTCTAACTCTCTCTCTCTCTCTTTCTATTCCTCTCTCTCTCTCCCTCCCTCCGACCCCTCCCCCACACTTGCCTGGCTGTCAATTTTATAGGAAAATCCTTAACTGCATGGAAATCCTATCACCAGGAGATTCCATCTGTCAATCTCCCTTCCTCCTTCCCTCCCTCCCTCCTTCCCTTCCTTCCTTCCTCCCTTCTTTTCAGCTTTGCTGTGAACCTGAAAGTGTTCTAAAAACATAAGTCTGTTTGAATAAAGGAGCTCCCCTCTCACTCTTGGCTGTGCCTGCCAGGTGACACCTACAGGAGCCTCCTCCCCATTTCCTTTGGTGTATCCTCTGTAACTATTTCTTTATGGGTAACGTAATGGGGGTTCTATCTGACATCCTGAAGTCATAACTCTGATGTTCCTGATGTGAATTTATACCAGCTATGTTCAATAAAACACAAAAGTGACACTACTGTATACAGCTCAAACTACACGCCATTGTATTTACAGATGTCACAAACATTCTGCCTGAATGCATCATGTGTCTAAAATCATAGAGTCATAGTTATTTTGATACACTGCCCTCTTAAATCATGTAGGAAAAAAAAAGCAGCACCAGTTTTGCTAATTGTCCATGTGCTTAAACTGTACTAGCAATTTTTAGTTTCTCATCTCACTCATCTTTGAATGGAGAAAGTGGCCCTCATGCAAAGTGGGGCTAAATGGTAAAATAAAAGGCAATAAGAAAAGGAAAGAAGCCTTTCACAGATTTTAGTACCTGGAAATGTCTTTAGTTCTGCCTTCAACTCACTCCCTGATGTCCTTCTCACTCCTGTGGTGAGTTCTGGGTGTGGCTGTAGGCTCAGCCTCTGCATCATAGAGACCTTCAGGCATTTGATGTTTAGACCTACAGACCAACCACTGTGTGGATGCTGTACAAGTGGAGTTTCCTGAGTGCTCTGTGGAGGACACACAGCCAATGAATTCCCAGTAGTACCCCAGCTGGTAGCAGGGCCTGACTTGATATTCCCGGGCCAGACCCCCAGTTAAAAAAAAAACAAAAGTCCCAGGCTAGCTGGGTGCTGGTGGCTCATGCCTATAATCCTAGCTACTCAGGAGGCAGAGATCAGGAGAATCAGGATTCCAGGCCAGTCTGGAGCAAATAGTTCTTGAGACCTTATCTCAAAAAAAAAAAAAAAAATTATTAAAAAAAAGGCTGGTGGAGTGGCTCAAGGTGTAGGCCCTGAGTTCAAACCTCAGTACCACAACACAAACAAAGAAATAAATAAGTTCCAGGCCAGCATAAGCTACATACTGAGATCCTGTCTCCAACAAAACCAAAACCAGCCAGGTGATGGTGGCTCACACCTGTAATCCTAGCTACTTGGAAGGCTGAGATGGGGAGGATCTAGATTGCAGGACAGCCATGGCAAATAGTTCACAAGACCCCATCTCCAAAATAACCAGAGCAAAAATGGACTAGAGGTGCGGCTCAAGCAGTAGTAAAGCACCTGAGTTCAAACCTCAGTCCCACCAAGAAAAGAAACAGAAAACAAAAAACGAGTGAGATCAGGATGGTTGTTTGAGGCCAGCTTGGGTCTTAGTAAGACCTCATCTCAAAGAGTAAACTAGACATGGTGGTGCATGTGTGTGATCCCAGCTACTGTAGAGGCCTTAGATAGGAGTATCTGAGGCTTCCCAGGCAAGAATATGAGACACTACCCAAAAAAATAACTAAATCGAAAAGGGCTGTGGGCATGGTTCAAATGGTAGAGTATCTGCCTAACAAGGAGGTCCAGAGTCCTAAACCCCAGTACTGTCAAAAAAATTAAAAATTAAAAAAAATATATAAAATAAAAGCAGGTTGTGGTAACTTTGTAGGGCAGGAAACATATTTCTTAAGCCAAGTGATCAAGTTCAACAGGAACAGATCATATTGGCCATGACATGGTGAAAATGGCCCTTTCTTTACCTTTGTACTCTGCTAAAAAAAAAAAAACTTGTGACCCTACTCCGGTGATGAGAAAAATATCAGACAAATGCCAAGTAGAAGGGTATTGTATAATATAACTCACCTGAATTCAATATTGCCAAGGTCATTAAAGATCAGGAAGGTGCCAGGAGCTGTCAAGGCCAAGAGGAGCCCATGGTGTCATGAAGATCAACTACAATGTAGGCTCCTGCATGGATCCTGGAACAGAAAGACTTTGGTAAAAAACTAAGGAACTCTGAATAAGCCACAGACTAGACTTAATAATCATGCAAATATTGCTTCATTCATTGTAACATTGTAACAAATATTCCATATTAATATAAGATATTAATATAGTGGAAAAACATATTGGGGTCTTCTTGGACTGTCTTCTAAATATTTTTGTAAGCCAAAAACAGTTTAAAAAATAATAATAAAATCTGGAGTTGGTCACCAGTGGCTCACATCTGTAATCCTAGCTATTTGAAAGGCTGAGAGTGGGAGGATTGAGGTTCAAGTTCAGACCAGGCAAATAGTTTGTGGTTATTATCTCCAAAATAACCAGAGCAAAATGGACTGGAGGTGTGACTCAAGCAGTAAAGCCCCTGCTTAGCAAGCATGAAGTCCTGAGTTCAAGCCCCAGTCTCACACACACACACACACACACACACACACACACACACACACACACACGTCAGTAGAAAAAGAGGCCAATTGAAGTTATTTCAGCGTGAAAGGGGACTGGAAGATGAAACAGACCCCTCTTTTGCTTGGGAAAACACATCCTGCTGACAGCCACGGGAAGCTGATGCTCCTTCTGCACATCCTGGCTCACAGACACTCAGGTTATCTGGCATCTGATCCAGCTCTCCTGCAGCTACGTGAAGTCGTGTGACTGTGTATTCCAGGATGGGATGTAAGCGAATGATCTGTGTGATTTATCATCATGGTTTCAGAAGGAAACAATTAGCATTCCATTTTTTATTTCCTCCTGCCTATAGCTGAGAAAGGGTGACATCCTTAAGCAGACACTTAAGGACCAGGTGTGGAAGCCATCTGTTGGGGAAAGTAGACACATCCTATCAACCTGGGTCCCTTAGTGAGATTGTGGAACAGAGTGGGCTGCATGCCTTGGAACAGCCAGGTGTTTCTGTCTCTGATGACAGAGAAAACAAAGGTTGACTTTATTAGCCATTGTACTTTGGGTGTCTTTGTTACAGCAGCTTGGCATAGCTTTTCCCTACTCTTGTAGCTACAAATTACAATTTCATAGCATAGCCTGGAATGGGGAAGTCAAGGTCAAAGGAGAGAAACACTGTGCCTAGCAAAGTAAAAAACAAAAGCATCTTTTCTGGGGTGGATAAATTGATCTGTGGCAAAATGTACTGGAACCTGGAGATAAGAGTTATTTGGAAATACTCAGACTTGAAGAAATGGCCCATCAGATTTGCTTGGGGGAAAATAGGCTCTAATTTGGTGGGTGTAAGGCAAAAGTTCAAGTGACAGATGGCAACCAGTAAGTTACTACAGGGAATGGATTTAGACTGATAAACCAGGCATGGTGGTACACATCTGTAATCCCGGTACTCTGCAGGCTGAAGCAGGAGGATCATGAGTTGGAGGGCAGCCTGGGCTATGTAGTAAGATCCTGTCTCAAAACAAAATGGAAACTGAGCACCAGTGGCTCATGCCTGTAATCCTAGCTACTCAGGAGGCAGAGATCAGGAGGACTGCAGTTGGAAGCCAGCCCAGGCAAATAGTTCATGAGACCCTATCTCGAAAAAACCCATCACAAAAAAAAAGGAGGCTGGTGGAATGGCTCAAGGTGTTGGCCCTGAGTTCAAGCTCCAGTACTGAAAAAAAAGAAAAGAAACAAGACAAAATGCTAGTTTGTTCATTCTGCAGAATGTGACTTCCCTACAGGCCAAATTGGAGCTGTCATTGGCTCTTCTTTTCCACTCCCACATCTAATTGGTCACTTGGTTCTTCTAATTCTACTTTACTGGAGTTGTTTGTTTGTTTTGGTGGCACTGGGGTTTGAACTCAAGGCCTTACACTTGCTAAGCAGGCACTCTACCACTTGAGCCACCCAACCAGCCCTTTCAATTTAATATCTCCCTTTCCATTTCCAGAGCCCCCACCCAACGGGTCTCATCTTCCTGCTCCTAGAATAAACCTGATAATTATCAGCCTGTAGGTCTGTTCCTGGAGGCTGTAGGCTTTTTGGACAAGGATAGGTAATTCCAAACCATAACTTGCTCGGGATTCTTGGAAAGTCTGTAACAGGGGAATGAGGGTTAATTTTTTATGTCAACTTGACTGCGTTAAGGGATGCCCGGATAGCTGGTAAAACACTATTTCTGGGCATGTCTGTAGGATGGTTCTGGAAGTGATTAGATTTGAGTCAGTGGACCAAGTCAGGAAGATCTGCCCTCTCCAGTGTGACTGAGCATCATGCCATCTGTTGAGGCCCCACAC